TGAGAGGGAGCAGGGCGACCCCCTGGTGGTGAGACGGGCGGAGGGGACAGTCAGATGAACAGTCGGTGATCCTGGACGAGATGTCCGGGTGTTAGCCGACCGGGCTAGGTAGGTTAGCACACTGTGGTCAACGACCCGGCCAGTGTTTCGTGGGGGGCGACGAGAGGTGGACCACATGGACTTTATTATTCTCGAGGTGTCATCATGGATGTTCCGGCGAGACCCACGGTGGATATGGGCAGGAAAGTAACGTCCAGGAGGAGAGGTGATGCAGCCGGGCGAGGACGAAGCTGGAGAAGCTCAGCAGCGGAGTATTGGAGCAGGGCCATCGGAAGTTGGTGACGGAAATGACAGTGAAGTCCAGGGAAGCACGGACCCGATGTGCATCCTGTCAGTTGACACTGTGGTGACAACGAAATGGACACAGGAGCGGGGACAGTAATTGATCAGTGATTAGTAAACTGCCCAAAAAAAAAAACTAAATTAAAAACTTAAAATTAATCAAAAAGTTACGGGCGAGCAGCGGCAGCAAGTCGCGCCAGCATTAACCGTTAATTGTCCAACGGCTACTAACGGTTTTAAATCATGTTTACATTTATTGTCAGGAAAGGTGATGGTTTTTAACATTTATCCCTGAAGCGACTGTCGTTTCTGTGCTTTAGTTTTAGGGTTAATCTCTGAGAGTGTGTTTTGTTTTTGTTTTTTCTCAGATGACCAAATCAGTGACCTGCCCTGATGAGATGGGGGCTCTGGCCTCTCAGGTGACTGTAGACTACGGTCAGTTGGCCTTCCAGAGTCGACTGGCGGCTCACACAGCGGAGCCTGAGGAGGTGTGTGGACCTGGCTGTGGCCTCACGCTGATCACTTTTTAAAGATTTTTTCCTTCTTATTTAACCATCTGTGACTTTTTTTTTTTTTTTTTCCAGGTTGGTTTCCAGATCAAGACCCGGGTGCAGGATCTGGGCCACGGTTGTATCTCGCTGGTCCAGAAGGCTGGAGCCCTGCAGATCACACCCTCAGACAGTTTCACTAAACGAGAGCTCATCGACTGCGCCCGCACTGTCACCGAAAAGGTATCGACGCCATCGAACTGAAAATACAAAACCATTTTCTTTTGTTGTTGGTAATGCAACATAAACAACAATTATATTCAAAGACCCCTGGTTTATAGTATGACCTTTGTACAAAACTTCATCATTATGTAACAGAAACACATTCATCTTTGGGTTTGTGTTTTTCTGTTTACATTTACAGCCACAGCTCCTTTGACCATCTAAACTCTGGGATTGGTTCCTTTGATCATCCTTTATTTCTCTATTTCTTATTATTTTGTCTGTTGATTTATTTTATTGTAACTATTACCTATAAATTAGACACTAACTTGTTTAGACCTGGAGCTTTTCTGCTTTCTACAGCGCCTCTGTTGGCAGACACGAGTATTGATTCACGTCAACATTCACAGCTTTTGACTCCATTTCAAAACTAATTTCAAACACAGCTATTCCTACAAAACACCTATTAGCATCAAAGGAAATTGAAGCTAATGTGTCCTGCTGTACCGCCTGCCTCCTGAGGGGGGCCCCCTGCCTTCTTTTGGGAAGCCCTGATCTAATATAATCTACAATAAGAATGAGGTCTGCACAGTGTGATTCAGAATGAAAAGGGAAGTATTTCAGCTCTAGTGTTTAGTCCTGGTATCAACAGCAGAGATATCATTCACGTCCTGATGAGTTATAGCACTATTTATTTAAGCTTTTTGGAACAGAGCTGAACTGTCAAAGAAATGTTCACGCTTCCAGAGAGAAAATCTTTAATTTACGGTTTTTGGCAAAAATCCATTCTCCTGTCGTCTGATTTAATAATTCATGTCTAGTTACTGCGATGTTTTTAAATCAGCCACAGCACAAAAGAACACTTTTTTTTATCTAGCTCCTAATTTGTCTCAGTGTTGAATGTTTTTTACTCTACATTGTTGTGAGTTAAAGATAGCAGGTATTAGTCTAGAGTCAGGCGGAGAGGAAAACAAATGGAGTCAACAGCAGTTTGACATGTTCTTATTTCCCAGTGTGACTGATGGTGTGTACTGATCTGAACCGACACACTCTATTATATTGGCCATTGTAGTGCATTTCTGAAATCCTCCTACTGAGACTGAGTTGTGTTTCCTATTTAAAGTCAATATTATTTTCTGAGGAGATCACAAACAGACGGAGGTAGAAACAGTCGTCAGATCAGGACCAGACTGATGCTCTGAACAAGGACCAACGTTTCTTGTGTTTAAATAAATGATGTGATGAGTTTAGACCGTGCACCTCTGTGTGTCCAGGTGTCCTTGGTGCTCTCGGCCCTGCAGGCAGGTAACAAGGGCACGCAGGCCTGCATCACAGCAGCCAGTGCCGTGTCTGGGATCATCGCCGACCTGGACACCACCATCATGTTTGCCTCTGCCGGAACCCTGAACGCAGAGAACGACGAGTGCTTCGCCGACCACAGGTGAGAGCGTGTGTGACATCTGCTCTCCTGACAGAATGACATATTAGCTGGTGAACAGAGGCAGGAACCTCAGGTGGGGCAGGGGAGGGGGCAGTACTTCACTGTCAAGCTTTGATAAATGCAGGGAGTGTGTTACATCCCATAAACATGTTACTCTTCAGACTAAAGACTTCAGTCTCAGGCAGGGTTTTCAGAAGACACTAGAAGATTTACTGTTTTTATTGTTGTGACAACATGGTGGAAGAGTGGTTAGTGCTCCTGCTTTACAGCTAAAAAGTCACCAATTTGACCCCATTTGTAACTGAAGGTGTTTTTATACAGACTCTACGTGTTCTCACCTCGTGTGTTAGGTTTCCTCTGGTTACCATGGTTTCCTCCACAGTCCAAAAACATCCAGGATGAGGTTGATTTGACACTTTAACCTTTCACCATATGTGTGACTGTGACTGTGGTCGGTTGTTTGTCCCTGTACCTGCGATGACCTGGTAAACAGACCAGGGTGTGACCCAGACCAGGACTACAGTGGTTGGTAGACGACGATGTTTGGTTGTCCACCAACTCACAACAGCATGTCGTACAAATATGACAAACTGGGCACATGTTTAGTAAAAATGTTCAGCTTTGAATGCAGGATTTGGAGGATATAGGATTTATTTATTTATTTCCATCTTTCTCTGTCTTCCCTCTCTGCAGAGAAACCATTTTGAAGACGGCCAAGGCTCTGGTGGAGGACACAAAGATGCTGGTGTCCGGGGCAGCTTCCGGTCCGGACAGATTGGCGCAGGCTGCTCAGTCTTCAGCCAAAACCATCACCCAACTCACAGATGTGGTCAAACTTGGAGCTGCCAGCATCGGCTCGGATGATCCAGAGACACAGGTGGGACAGATTTTTAAATTTTTTTCCTCCGTCGTCTTAAAGACTGAGATTTCAGTCCCTCTGTCTTCAGTTTGTGAAGTGACTCCTGTCACTATCATAAGTCTGATTGTGTTTGCATCGCCCCAGGTTGTTCTGATAAATGCTGTCAAAGATGTGGCAAAGGCCCTGTCTGAGCTCATCAGTGCCACCAAGTGTGCAGCTGGCAAAACAGCAGATGATCCGTCCATGTACCAGCTGAAAGCTGCAGCCAAGGTGAGTTTTTGTCATATCACAAAAATATATGTTTCCACTGCTGTATATTCAGTTTTACTCCTAACGGTGAGCTGTTCTGTATAACTTGTTTGTGTTAAAAATAAAATAAATGCACTCTTCTGTTCTTCCTGTATTATCCTCTCCCTGAGGCGGAGCTGTAATGAGCTCCAACATCTGTTCTCATTAGAAGACCATTGTTCACATGACTTGAGCTCAACACTAAACCTCTGTTATAAAAAGCCTGTAATTGATGATAAGGGAAATGTGATTCTTTAAAAAAACCACGGTGAATCAGAGGCGATTGCTCCTTCAACACATATGAAAAGACAATTTTCCAACAACACTTCAGAATCTAAATGTGGAGGTGTTTTTTTTTATCAACTCATTATCGCCTTCGAGCTACAAAGCGTTGAGAATATAAGAATACTTCACCGTCTGTCAGTACACGGTGACTCACAGCCGTTCTCATTCTAACAGTACAGTATACACTTGTAAGACCTGAGGTGGAAGGAACCCGACTTTTTGCGCCATCTACTGTCCATTTTGATGTACTACACTTAAAATATTTTCTCTTATTTATTTTAAAATAATAAAAACAACAAAGAAGAATTCCCCACCATAAGAACCAGTTTGTTCTTCAAGGACACGATAACATTCCAAAGACCTGATAACATCTGTGTTTTGTATATTTGCCGCTGGTTGCTCCAGGTGATGGTGACCAACGTGACCTCACTGTTGAAGACGGTCAAAGCAGTGGAGGACGAGGCCTGTCGAGGGACCAGAGCCCTGGAGTCCACGATCGAGTGTATAAAACAGGAACTGGCGGTGAGGCCCGGCTGGAAGGATCGGAATCCACACACGTTTGTTTTATGTTTGATCTTTGTCTCTAACGTAATGCCCTTTGACCCTGACTCTGTTCCTCCTCAGCTTTTTCAATCCAAAGATGCTCCCAACAAATCGAGCACTCCTGAGGAGTTCATCCGCATGACTAAAGGCATCACGATGGCCACGGCCAAAGCTGTGGCTGCTGGGAACTCGGCCCGGCAGGAGGACATCATTCACACGGCCAACATCAGCCGCAAAGCTATTTCAGAGATGCTCACCACGTGCAAGGTTCCTTCCTGTCGTTGTTTATCTGACGTGTGGCCTGAATCTGTGTGAGCGTGAACTCATCAAACTGCTTGTGTCAATCATTGGTCTTCCAGCAAGCGGCCTACCATCCAGAGGTGAGTGAGGAGGTGAAGAACAGAGCACTGAGGTACGGGTCGGAGTGTACCACTGGATACATCCATCTGCTGGAGCAGGTCCTGATGGTGGGTTCACATTAGTGTCTTAGACCTGAACTCTTCTTGGTTTTCTTATATTCAAAAACTTAGCCTGGGGGGGAGGGGGGGGTGTCCAGTGGAAGTGCCGTAGGACACGTTGACTTCAAATTTAAATAATTTGAGTTAAAAAACTGAACAGATTTTTTTGTGTACGTTTGTAAGTAACATTTAGTGGAGAATTGAAGCATTAGCTCTGAATGTTGCAACATGTGGGGCGGGGGTTGACAACAGTCCTATCTATGAAAGTGAAATCTGAAATGTGTGTGTGTGTGTGTGTGTGTGTAGGTTCTCCAAAAGCCCACAGCAGATCAGAAGCAGCAGTTGGCAGGCTGTTCTAAACGGGTGGCAGGCGCCGTCACAGAGCTGATGCAAGCAGCTGAGGCCATGAAAGGTAACCACACACACACACACACACACACACACACACAAACAGTGCATATTTCACCTGTTTTACACTGACCAACCTGTAGAATCAACTCTTTATCATAAGATCTTGAACTAAACACTGTGGTTGATATTATTATTATTATTATTATTAGATTTTTATTCCTAATAAAACAGATAATGAAACAAACCCTTGTTAATACCCCTGTCCTCCTTCTCTTGCCACAGACGGAGGTAAGTTTGCGTTTGTTTTTTTCTGCGGTGTGACTTGTTTTCTGTATTCTCACCAGATGTGAGCTGGTCAACACCTTTGTTTTCTCTGCAGCACTGACTCTGAATCATTTCTTCTCCAGCTTCACTCAGGCTTCTCCAGTTCATAGTCGACGTCACAGTCATCTGTCATCATGTGTTGTTTTTTTTTTTATCACCGTGTCGTCATCATTTCTTTCCTAAGTCACTCATTTCCATTGCAGTGAATGGCAGTCATGTGATCTCCATCTGCTAATGCATGGATGTGGCGACATGTGGCACTGAGTCTGTGTGGTTGTTGTTGTGAGGCATGTTCTGTCTGTGGTCTGAGATGCAGCCCCCCACCCTGCCCCCCCGTTCTCTGCCGACCTGAATTCCTCCTCTTCTTCAGGTTCTGAGTGGGTCGACCCCGGGGACCC